TGACACAACAACGATGCGATTTATTCCTATCACCTTTTGTTATCAAGTAAAATCTACACTACATCAGGTCACTAGGGCTACACCTTAATTATTAGTTGCGGTTACTGATGGTTGTTGGACTATATTAAATGAAATGGTACAGAACGTAGTTTACAATTTTCAGGATCGCACTAAAGCACCGACCAAAGCACCGAATTTAGCGCTTCTATCACCTTTCTGCATTTACCAATCTGTTCTCTGATTTCCTTTTCGCATATAACTTTGCTTGGGATTTTTACCCCTATCTATACTAATATATAAAATCCTTAAGTGACTGATTCACTGATTAATCACGATCATGCTCAAACCACGCAACGTGAGAAGTTCAATTTTGGCATACTGGTTGATTCTAGGGTGTAGAAGTTCGATAAGAAGGGATTTTTCGAAATTCCAGTTCCAAGGGGGTGAAACCACCCCTCAAATATTACAATATTTTTTATTTAAAAAACGGTCAAGTTTCCGAAAAAACGCTTAAACACGTATATTTTATTTTGTTTTTTACGTATTTTAAGATTTTTTAAAAATGTATACAGGGTGTTTTGAAAAATCTGGTCATTGATTAAACACGATCCTGCTTAAAGCGCTTGACGTAAAAAGCTGATTTTTGGAAAACGGATTGACTGTAGGATGTAGAGGTTCGATAAGAAGGGATTTTTTGAAACTCGAATTCTAAGGGGGTGAAACCACCACTCAAATATTAGAATAATTTTTATTTAAAAACTGGTGAGTTTTTCGGAAAAACTCTTAAACACGTATATTTTATTTTGTTGTTTTACATATTTTAAGATTTTTTCAAAATTTATACAGGGTGTTTCATAAAATATGACCATTGAGTAATCACGATTCTGCTAAAACTGATTGACGTTTAAAGCTGATTTTTGGCAAACGGATTGATTGTGGGGTGTAGAGGTTCGATAAGGAGGGGTTTTTCGAATCTCAAATTCCAAGAGGGTGAAAACGCCCCTCAAATATTACAATATTTGTTATTTAAAAAACGGTTAGTCTTTCGGAAAAACGCTTGGACAAGCATAATTTATTTGGTTTTTACATATTTTGAAATTTTTTAAAAAATCATACAGGGTGTTCCAAAAAGTTGGGTAATTTCTTAACCACGATTAAACTGCTTGACGTAAAAAGCTTATTTTTGGCAAACGGCTTTTTCGAAAGTCAAATTCCAACAAGATGAAACTACCTCTCAAATATTACCAAGTTATATAATAATATCGCCATATTGTTTTTTTCTCATGCTGACATAAATATGAGAACATTTTATCCAGTTTGTATGTTAATGGAAATTCTTGGTTTGCTTTATCATCACCATTACAAATGATTAATTCGACGCGAACAAAGTCGTGGGTACACGCTAGTATACATATATTCTTCGCAAAGGCTTTTATATAACAAAGGGCACATGCTTTAATACAACATAAAGATTAATTTTTATGTTGTTATTTTTCATATTCTTCATGTTGTTCTTATCAATTTTCTGGTCACATATTCTAGATCTTCTTTGACTTGGGCCATTACTATCTACTTTCTACTACTACTGCCATTACTCGCTGACTTGTATTTGACACGCATCAGCGGATGGTTACTCAAGACGTTTTCTTTCATGAGTTTTTCTGTGACTAAAAAGACTTTCTTCTGCACTCCGGGCATTCAAAAATGTCATTACTTTGTTGTCTCTTTACTTTTTGGTTGTCGTTGTTAACTGAGTTTACAATCCTTCTCCATTGCTTTCTATTTTGCGATGCTTCATCCCACTGATTCTAAATGCTTATTCCCTTTAAGTTTTCGTGGAGAATATCCTTGTACCTTTTCAGTTGTCCACCCGTTTTCCTCTAACCGTCTACAAGCTCACCGTAAAGAAGAAGTTTTGGTAGGCGGTTTTTTGCATCCTGCATACGTGACCAACCCGCGAGATTTATTAATCATGACTTCAACGCTCCCGTAGCTAGCTTTTTCAAGGACCGATACGTTTGAGACATGGTGGCACCATTTGATTCTTAACAGTTGTCTAAGAGGCCTCTGTTGCAACTTGTTTAATGTATTCGCTTGCCGGCGGTACGGCCGAGGCACCAAGTTCCATATAACACGGTGAGGATTATATTGCTCGATACACTGCAAGTTTCATTTTTGTGCTCAAGTCATGATTGTAGAAAACCCTGTCTAATTTCCAGAGTGCTCTTGAGATGCTGTTAATGCTGTGCTGAATTTCAGAGTCGATATTGGCCTTTTCCGAAATTAAACTGCCGAGGTAATTGAATTCCGCTACATATTCTAATAGTTCTTCTCCGATTTTTATAACATTGTTATGATATTTCGGTAAGTGCACCTGATTTTAGTTTTATCGATGTTCAGCCTAAAGCGGCCCTCACACGATCAATAATATTGTCAATGTTTTTTATTGTCAATATTTTATCAATATTTGAAAGGTGGCCTGACACGGTCAATACATATATCAATATTAAGTTTTGTGCAGATATTAAGTGTGAATTATACCCTAAGATTATACCTTATGCCAAAAAATGAAAGTTAAAAAAAGCGTGTCATTTTGGCAGTGAGTGTCAGTCTGTCAGACAGTGTGAAAAAATCGAAGGAAAAATTTAAGAAAAGGCGTTATACAAAAAATGGATATCCAACAAGAAAAAGGTTCGGCCAACTAAATCTTCTAGAGTACGTTAAGAAACGGAAGCCTGATGATTGCGATCTAAAACTGGTGAAAACAACGACGGCGATGTTCCGTCTTCCGCCATGGTTACCAATTAACTATGAATAAACTAGTCAAATTTTGTCAATCATGCGACCTAACGATCAATATATTGTCAATACGACTAGCTCCGCCTTTAATATTGTCGAGTATTTTCAGGATCCCGAAAATCCATCAATATATTGAAACTCCATCAATATGTACGCTCAAACGCTCAATAATATTGTCAATAATCCAAAATATTGACAATATTATTGATCGTGTGAGGGCCGCTTAAGGCCCAAAGCCTCGTCTGCCCAGGTATATATGTGTTCAGAATTTCTTGTAATTGCTGTAACGTTTTTGCAGCTATAGCGCAGTCATCAGTATCGGTATTTAATGCCCTATTTATCTTTCTTGCACTTTGCTTGCACTATAATAGAGAATGCTGCCATGATATATGTATATTTCTTATTCGCCTTCTTATAGTATGATGGCTGTCGCACATAAACAAGTTCTTTTGTAACTATGTTACAAACGAAAAAAAAAAAATATATAATATATATATATATATATATATATATATATATATATATATATATATATATATATATATATATATATATATATATATATATATATATATATATATATATATATATATATATATATATATATAGCGGGGGTCCTACAGCCTCTGCCGCATCCCGCATTTCGATCGCCATTTTTCTCTGTTTTGCCATTCGTCATCTTTAATGGCCCTATCCCTCATTGTTTTTCTAATTCCTTCTTCCCATGATATCACTGGTCTTCCTCTTCTCCTTCGATTTCTAGGGGCATATTCTATAGCTCTTTTTGGCCATCGGTCTTCCCCAGCTCTCATCACATATCCATACCAGACAAGTTGTCTTGTTTCTATGTTGTCTATAGTTGTGAATACCTTTCCCCTGTCTTTCTTCTTATATCTTCATTTCGAATATGTTCTGTTCTTGATATCTGACACGCTCTTCTCAAGAAATCCATTTCTACCACATCCACTCTTTTTCTGTTTTTTTTTCAGTCAATTGCCAGCATTCTGACCCGTACGATAAAATAGGCTCTACTATCGATTTGTAGATTGTCATTTTAGTTTTTAATTTTATTTTATTCGACCAAAGTACTGAATTTAGAATTCGGATACATTTCTGCCCTTGTTGTGTTCTATGTTGAATGTCCCTGTTTGATGTTCCTTCTTGAGATATTATAGTTCCTAAATATTTGTATTCTTCGCATTGTTTTATATTGCCGAGTTCTAAGCTCCGGTCTACTTGTCCATCGTCTGCCATTTTTAGATATTCTGTTTTTGTCATGTTCATTTTCAATCCCCATTCTGCGTACTCCTCTTTCAATTTTCCGAGCATATAGTCAATATCTTCCTCATCATTAGCAACTATAACCTGATCATCGGCGAACAACAAGGTTGTCAAGCAATGATTACCAATCTGTATCCCCATTCCTGAGCATTTACGTCTCCATACATCCAGAGCTTCCTTGACATAAATTTTAAACAAAGTAGGCGACAAGCAACAGCCCTGTTTAAGGCCTTTCGAGATATTGAAGGGTGCTGATATATTTTTGCCAATTTTTACGGCGCTGGTTGCGTTTTTATAAATGTTATGGATTGCGCGGATGTATACTTTGTTTAGGCCGATTTTCGTCAGAGTTTTGAAAAGTTTTGTTAAGGGTACCGTATCGTATGCTTTTTGAATGTCGATAAAAATCAGATGGGTGGATAAATTTCGAGCTATTCTCTTTTCAATAACTTGTTGTAAGGTGAAAATATTATCTAAGCACGATCTTCCTGCGCGAAAACCACTTTGCTCCTCTAGTTCTTGCCATTCCATTTCAATTCTCGTTTTCAGAATTCTACCATACAACCTCCCCATTGCACTGGTGACACTGATACCTCTGTAATTTTCACACACCTTCCTATCTCCTTTCTTATGGATGGAACTAATATATGATATGCTCCAGTCTGTAGGAATATCATCTGCTCGTATGAGACATCTGTTAAAAAGTTCTGCCAAAACTTCCAGTAGTATGATTGGTCCGTGTTTTACCAGTTCAATGGGAATGTTTCCTGGTCCTGAGGCCTTGCCACTTTTTATATTCCTAAGAGCTTTTTCTATTTCATTTATATTTATGTTTTCTGTGTCCACCTGTGTGATTTTAATTTCTTCTGTTGGTTCTATGAAGTGTTCTCGATCTTGCCATTTTACCATATTTATCATATCTATATGAGCAGATTGCTTATTTTCTCGTCGAATATTTTTAATTGCTTTCCACGCCTCTGATACTTTTGTTCCGCCCATATACCTTTCGATGTGTTCGCATTTCCTGTCCCAACTTTCATTTTTCTTTTCGCGTACAATTCTTTTAACTTTTCTATTACAGCGTTTGTATGCTCTCTGATCCTCAGGGTTTTCTGTAAGTAGCCACTTCTGATAAGCTTTCTTTTTATTCTTTGTAAGCTCTTCCAATTCCTCAGACCACCATTCCGGATTTTGTGTACATCGATATTCTTGTGTCCTAAAGCTTCTTCGGCTGCTTGATGTATAGAGTCTTTAATGGTTTTATATAACTCTTCGGTATTAATTTGTTCTATTTGTATATTTTGTAATTTTGAAGCCAGTCTAAGTTTATAAAGAAATTGTACTGATTCATGTCTGAGACTATCCAAGTTGTAATTAACCGAATCTACCTTTCCTTGGTTGCCCTTGTGCTCTTCTCTCTCCTTTTTTGAGCTCCTGTAATTAATTACCACTTTGGCCATCAACAGATAATGGTCAGAATCGCACTCTATGCCACGATATACCCTAACGTCATTGGTTTTTAAAATTGAATTTTGTCGCAGGATCATATAGTCAATTATAGAGCTAAGCCTTCTTGTTCTTTGGACCCATGTAAACTTGTGTACCTCTCTATGTGGGAAGAATCCGTTCATGATCTTTAATGTTAAACTTTCACACATGTTGATAATTCGCTGACCATTATCATTAACTGGTTGTTCCCCATGTTGTCCTACGACTAGATCATTTTGCTTTTGACCAACTCTGCCGTTAAGGTCACCCAGTATACAAATTTCCTTCCTGTCGTTTATATTAAGTATTGTATTTAGTAGCTTATCATAGAATTCGTCTTTAATATTATTATCAGCATCTTCGCTAGGTGCATATGCTCCTATTATTACTATGCTGTGTCCGTTTTTCTCAATTTCTAGTGTTATTATTTGTTCATCTATTTCTTCCCACGTTCTTATGTTATTTTTGTATTTTTTGTGTATATTAGTTCTACAAACGAAAATATAAGCGTCTATACATCTTAATTATTTTAGCAATATCGAAAAGATCATGTGATGGTACATTTTGTTTATGAAATCAGAACATAATATTCCACGGAACCAGTTTACCTTTTTCTTTCGCAACTACCTACAAAGTGTTACCATAAAAAAGGTTCGGTATGTTTCATAACCGAAATTTTTCGTTTCCGCGTTCAAAATTACTGCCGATTCATCCATCAATGGACTGACTACAACACCCTAGCGCAGGCCCGGTGGGGGTACGACCGGCTTCGGTCTCAAGGCGTCCGAGCGGTTCCATGCGGTACCGCCTCGGGCTACCGGCACCAGCGAGGTTCACGGTCGTCGATGCCGAAGAGAATGCAAGTAGATGGATGGTAAAGAGCGCCACACACTCGAGGATTTTCTTTTTGGAATATGTACCCTTAATTTGTATATTTTTAAATTAAATATCTACTTTTTTGAATTAAGAGCAAGGACGTAGAGACCTATAGGTCATACTAAATAAACTTTTAGTCACGTGATTACGCCTGACCGGCACAGCGTTGCCCACTTTTCTATGTTTTCTTTTAATCAAAATATTTTAGGAAACAAAAATAAATTAATTATAAATATAAAAACAGTTATTATTTACAATGACAAATCTCACCTTCTTAACAGAACTTAAGGGAAATAAAAGCGCTTTTCCGTTTAAAATATTTTAATAAGGTTGGGATGAGTTGTGTGCAACGGCTATTAAGCTGATGCGGCATCTTGTACACTTCGCACTAAAAGCGGTTCTAAAAAGAACAATGGCTCTTTTTTGATTCTAAAACGGAACTGTATGGTCTGCTACTATTTTTTAAAGCTAAAAGTTATCACAACACAATTCATTTAAACCAAAAACTCGTAATACAAAAAAAAGTATCAAAACGACTGACAATGTCAGGAAATAATTAAATAAATGTGGCAATTTGACATTTTTTACAGCAGAGCTACCACCGGAATCGCCAGCGGGAAATTTAAATTCCAGTTCGTCAGCCCGGCGCCGAATATGTCCATGGTTGGCCACAATGAATTTAAAAATTGCGCCCTTGATGGCGTATCTAAAATATTAATTGGTATCGCCTATAGTTAAATTACTTAATCTTAGATACCTATATTTCGTTCTGGAAAACCAAAATTAAGTGTTAAGATCATGGTATCTAAGCCTAAAAAATATAAAAAGAGACGAAAGGAATAGAAAGCTGAATGGTTTAAACACCATCTGAAAGGCTGCTTTCTTGTTTTCGGAATCTGAGATGGTAACATCAAAACTCATGTTAAGAAGTATGAGAGTCCAATACCCCTTTTAATATTTTGTCTTGAACGCAAAATATTCCTCTGTTGAACACGAGTCAAAGTTAATAGAAATTTAGGATGATAAGACTGATATCTGGTATACCTCTGTTACCTCTTTACTTCATAGTAGAACTGAGGATCTCTGAATCCCTCCTACTCCTAGGTGCCTTCTCTGTTGAAGTTGGCGATTAATATGGCATATGACTAATATATATATGATTAATATGGCATATGTTCAGTGCCTGATATCCATCAGGCCAAGGGTGTTTCCGTCGGTTTGGGTCCAATATCTTATATTACGTAGCAATGACTTCTTTTTCCTCCCTATTCTGCGTTTTCCATCGATTTTTCCTTCTATTCTCATCTGTATTTCTTCATATTCTGAATGTCGCATTATGTATCCAAGGTAGGAAGTCTTTTTAATTTTAATTGTGCCTGTTAGGTGTGCACGCGTTTTCATTTTGTTTAAAACTTCACAGTTTGTTGTTCTGGATGTCCGACTTATTCTCACAGCATCCTCATTTCAAAAGCGTTAAGTCGTTTGATATCTTCCTGTTTTAGCGTCCATGTTTCGCATCCATTTTGAAGCGGGTGCCATATACAGACCGGACCACCGTAGTAGTAACATAGGCAGAACCGGACGAATTAGCGCCGGATAAAAAGCAGGCGAAAAAATGCGATAAAATAAAAATAGGTAGATATGTGATAAGAATGTTTCAGAATTTGTATTTATTCGTGTTTTAATAGCCAAAACGAATACATAGATTCTCGCGAATTAATCAGATAGGGATCTCTACTACCAGAATAGAGTACTTATGGAAGAAACTCAATCATATTCAAATCTAGAATACCCTTTTATCTAAATAAGAAAACATTCTACCGATGTGTACTACCAGTCATGATTTATGCATGCGAAACCCGGACACTTTAAACGGATAATTATAAGGAAAGTTCAAGTCGCAAAACGCTCAATGGAACGAAATATGCTGGAAATAACCTAGAAAGATCGTAAAAGAATAGAGTGGATACGACAAAAGATCCAGGTAATAGATGTCATCCACGGAATCAAATACCTCAAGTGGCAATGGGCAGGGCAAGAAGGACGGACAACAGATGGACCATAAAAATTACAGCATGGTATCCACGAGGAATTAAGAAGAAAACCTGAGATGGGACCATGATATTACTAAATTAGCTAGGGATAACTTGGGCCCGCATAGCTTACAATAGATAACAATGGGCCCAACTGAAAAGAGAGTATCTAAATATGTGAGGGAGGCCATAATTGGAAATGGTTAAATGAACCAAAAATGATGATGATGATGATGAATATTTGTACCATAAAAGATATGGCTCTTGGCTTTTTAATATCGCAGATCTGAAAGTAACTTGCTCTTGATATCTCTTGTGATAGTCAAGCACTGGGACCGAATTCTGTAACTTAGAAAACGCTAAGCGCTTTTAGACGCTCAGCTCATATGATATTAATCTCATATGACGCTCATTCTCATCTGACGCGCTTAACGTCTTTACTGATTGCGCTAAGCAATTCGAAAACGGCTACCTTAAAGAATCGTTTTGCTTGTCGAACTGTCAGTAAAAATAGACAAAATTGTGATTTTGTGCGTTCTCTTGCTTTTTAGTGAAAACTACTTCTTCTTCTATAAATTTCTCAATAAGTAATTGATAATTTACGACTTGGCATCTATAAGTATTGTTCAAAACATCGAAGTCTTCAACATTTCTCTCGTATAATAAGAATAATGGCATATCCAAAAATAGGTTGACATAACTCAACAATAGGTTATGAAATTCACGTAACATTGACATTTTTCATTGTTTTATCCCTTTGAATAAGAAGACTAAGGAAGGAGCATATCAAAAATCTTAGGTACACCGCGATGGGCCTCAAATATGGCCGACTTAAATTCCGGTTTATCAGTGTCGTTCTAATTTTATTTAAAAAATATAAAACTATGATGTAGGGTAGACGTGGGATAGACTCAATAATTTTTTGTTTTATTTTACGTTGTGAATAAATGTTGGTAGTTATTAAAATTGTTATAAAAATATATAATTCTAGTAAAAATAGATAAGTTATAATAAGTATTTATTAACACAAACATCCGATACGCTACTGAAGCAGGTAAGTCAAATTAACGTATCTAAATTCTTTGACATCTAATCTTTGACAAGTAATAAATAAAAGCTAAAATGCAAGAAAAATATATAATTTAGTTAATTTAAATGAATTTCATAAATGATCGGTTTACTACACGTATGTATATTATATAGTCACTTACTAGCGAAAAGTTGTTCCATTATTTCACTCAATTTTTGCCAAGATCTACCGCACGCTACACAACCAACTATTTTAGAGTCTTTTTCGATAAATCGCGATAGTGTCACTGTTAATTTAAGTTCTGCCACAATTTCCATCTAGATTTACTACCTTTATACAACTATCAGTAGTAGAATAAATAATAAATAACATAAAATAAGCTCCGTAAAGACTGACAAATCCACAAAATTTCAAATCAAATTCAAATGTGTCAAATGAATCGTCAAACAGAACTGTCAAGGATCCCCACCCTAGAGAGCTTTTATGGTGGCTTTTCCGCCCACCATGCATAAATACATGGATAGCATTATGCTCCTTCCTTAGTCTTCTTATTCAAAGTTTTATCCACATTTGACTATTAGATACCTGAGAAATTGCGATGCTGCCAATATGTGCTCAACGCATATCCAGAAAACGATTAGCACGGCAACAAGAATACCAAAATCGACTGCCTGGCGTTCCGCTAATCGAATAACCAAGAAAACAACTCCAATATGGAAGCACTCAACATAATACCTCACCGCCTGCACCCACATATAGAGGGAATCCTCCCAGAATCCCAAACGGGGTTTGGCACCAACCGCGGTACCGTCGATTCCATATTCTCTATCCGCCAACTACAGGAAAAAGTAAAAGAGCAGCAGTCTAAACTTTACGTTGCATTCATCGATCTAAGAGAAACCTTCGACTCTGTGAACAGAGATGCACTTTGGGCAATTATGAAAAAGTTCGGAGTACCCAACAAATTTCTTACAGTGTGTAAAAGCCTCCATAACAACAACAAATCAAGGATGTCATGTCATGGATCACTGAGCGATCCCTTCCTAACAAACACAGGCGTTAGGCAGGGATGTGTCTTAGCGCCTCTCCTATTCAATAAATTCATGGCAGCGCTCTCCATTATAGTGGACAGCAAACTGCAGGAGAGAGGTTTGGGTATTAGATACAGATACGACGGCGGTCTGTTCAACATAAAAAGACTCAAGGCAAAAACACGTACAAAGTTCATCACAGAACTTCAATACGCTGATGACTGTGCTTTAGTTGCAGATACGTTACAGCAATTGCAAGAAACGTTGAACCCATATACATGGGCATACGAGGCGTTGGGACTTAAGCTGAACATCGATAAAACTAAAATCATGGGTACTCCCCCGGAAGATCACAACAATGCTATAAAAATCGGAGAAGAACTATTGGAATATGTAGAATTCAATTACCTCGGCAGTTTGATTTCGGAAAAGGCCAATATCGACTCTGAAATTCAACACAGGATTGGCAGCGCCTCAAGAGCATTCTGGAAATTAAAAGACAGGGGAAATTAAAACACAGGGCGTTGGGACTTAAGCTGAACATCGATAAAACTAAAATCATGGGTACTCCCCCGGAAGATCGCAACAATGCTATAAAAATCGGAGAAGAACTATTGGAATATGTAGAATTCAATTACTTCGGCAGTTTGATTTCGGAAAAGGCCAATATCGACTCTGAAATTCAACACAGGATTGGCAGCGCCTCAAGAGCATTCTGGAAATTAAAAGACAGGGGAAATTAAAAGACAGGGCGTTGGGACTTAAGCTGAACATCGATAAAACTAAAATCATGGGTACTCCCCCGGAAGATCGCAACAATGCTATAAAAATCGGAGAAGAACTATTGGAATATGTAGAATTCAATTACCTCGGCAGTTTGATTCCGGAAAAGGCCAATATCGACTCTGAAATTCAACCCAGGATTGGCAGCGCCTCAAGAGCATTCTGGAAATTAAAAGACAGGGGAAATTAAAAGACAGGGCGTTGGGACTTAAGCTGAACATCGATAAAACTAAAATCATGGGTACTCCCCCGGAAGAACGCAACAATGCTATAAAAATCGGAGAAGAACTATTGGAATATGTAGAATTCAATTACCTCGGCAGTTTGATTTCGGAAAAGGCCAATATCGACTCTGAAATTCAACACAGGGTTGGCAGCGCCTCAAGAGCATTCTGGAAATTAAAAGACATGGGAAATTAAAGACAGGGCGTTGGGACTTAAGCTGAACATCGATAAAACTAAAATCATGGGTACTCCCCCGGAAGATCGCAACAATGCTATAAAAATCGGAGAAGAACTATTGGAATATGTAGAATTCAATTACCTCGGCAGTTTGATTTCGGAAAAGGCCAATATCGACTCTGAAATTCAACACAGGGTTGGCAGCGCCTCAAGAGCATTCTGGAAATTAAAAGACATGGGAAATTAAAAGACAGGGCGTTGGGACTTAAGCTGAACATCGATAAAACTAAAATCATGGGTACTCCCCCGGAAGATCGCAACAATGCTATAAAAATCGGAGAAGAACTATTGGAATATGTAGAATTCAATTACCTCGGCAGTTTGATTTCGGGAAAGGCCAATATCGACTCTGAAATTCAACACAGGATTGGCAGCGCCTCAAGAGCATTCTGGAAATTAAAAGACAGGGTTTTCTACATCGTACATTTTCTACAGTCATGACTTGAGCAACCAAACCAAAACTTAAAGGGTATTAACAACCAGAATGAGTGGGAAGAAGCAGCTAACAATAGATCGGAATGAAGAAAAATTGTAAAGTCAGTTAACATCGACAACCAAAAAGTAAAGAGGCCACAAAGCAATGAGATTTTTGAATGTCTGGAGTGCGGTAGACAGATAACATCACGGCTTTTCAGTCACAGAAAAGCTCATGAAAGAAAACGCCTTGCGTGACCATCTTCTGATACGTGTCAAATACTCGTCAGCGAGTAATGGCAGTAGTAGTACTAATCGAATACTTTCGCTTACTGCTTTCAAAGCGTAACGTTTTTATGCCGAAGTTCCAGAATTCGGGCCCCGCAGGATTGCAGGAGCTCGGCAATCCTCGACCAAGACTAGGTGTATGTTCACCTTTATCTTCGGCTGTTCGTCTGGTAGCGAGCTAGCCAGCCGCGGCCAGCGTCGTCGACTCGCGTAGTATTGTAGCGTAGCTTTCAGCGTTTTGGGTTGTTTCGGTTCGGTCAGTTCGCGAGTGCGAGACACGAAATCGTCGCCGACACCGACGCTTTCCGGGCGATTCTTAGTTTATAGAAAAACTCCGGGAGTTTCTTCTCTGCGTAACGTGCACAAGTGATTATCTGTTTTTGGTTTTCTTGTATACTTGGTGTTATTCTGGTTTTGGAGAGAGTTCAGCCTGTTACTCGAGGTTCAACTGGAAGGAGTTTAAGAACTTTTATTTCGTTTATAAAATGTAAGTTTTAATAAATCACCTTAACTTACTACATAACTAATAATTTAAATTAAAAACGACTCAAAATATTGTTATTTGATGTTTCTGTTAAAAACATATAGTTCTTTCGTAAATAAATTTAAAGATTTAGGGACAAATGAGTTTGTAAATGAAATTAATTTATCCTTTTATCAAAATTAATTGAGGTAGATTCCGGGAGTTTAAAGAAAAACTCCAGGATAGCAACATGCGGTATGAATTTATTTTGATTTATGGGTCTTGTGGTGTTTTCGTATTTTTTGAGAGAGTTTAACGCGTGATTAAACTGGTCTGTTGTACTGGAAGGAGTTTAGGGATTTTAATATTAAAATAAGATTTCATTATCTTGAATTACTTTGTGTTTTTTATTTACAATTTATATTAAATATAAACTCGAAATATTGTATTTGATTAAAAAATTGAAATAATATACTTTATGAAGCCTTGCGATATTTAAATGTACCACTATGTCTGTAAAAAATAAATAATTGAAGATTCACTTGCCACTATGTTTATAAAGGATGTTAATTATTGTATTTATATGTCTCTCAAAATTATTTAAAGGTAATTTCTATATTTTATAGACTATATGTTCTTTTAATTGATCTAACTTTTATAAAGAAATCTAAATATTTAGGTACTATACTAAATATGTTTATAAAAGAAATTAATTGTTCGTTAATATTATCTGCGGTAGATTCCCAGTTTTAAGATTTTTTTTTCTGTGGTATTTTGGTTTGTGGCGTTTATCTTGTTTTTTTTTTTGAGAGAGTTTAACGTATGATTGGACTATTGTGTTTAACTGGAAGGAGATTGGAGGAGTTAATTTTTTATAATGTGTAAGTTACTCTTACTTTATATCTATAAAAATTAAGATTTATTAGTTACTACTATAGTTATTAGTTAAAAACTTCGGGTGTTTCTTTTTTGCTTAACGTTCATAAGTGACAGTCTGTTTTGGTATTTCTTGCATATTTGTTGTTATTCTTGTTTTAAACAGAGTTCAGCCCTCGCAGGATTGGCAGAAATTTTGATTTTTTAAAAAACAGAATTGTTTTTATTTAAATCAGATTTTTTTGACTTTAATAGTCGAATTTCCAAATAATTAGGACTTATTTCAAACTAAAGTTCTATTCTAAATGGTTAAATACTCGCAACTTTGCCCGATACTATAACATTAGCAATTATACGGCGCGTGTCATTTTTCCACAACACCATTATATTCCGCAAAAAAGTCGCTCGCTTAGATCAAAATCTAAAAAATACGTTTTAAAAAATATAAAATGACGTTTGAAAAAAAAATTTTTTTTGAAACGTCACAAAAGTATTATTTTTTGTCATTTTAAACAACAGTAAAAAGCATTTAAAATTACGAAAATATATAACTAAACCTTAGAGTAAAGATTAAACTCATATTAAGTGTCAAATTTGACAAGTCTACAAATTGCTCGATATATAATTACTTACAAGTTATTACTTTTTATATTATTTGTGTTTGAAAAAAAAATAAAAAAGTTTGAAAAAAATAGTATGTTATATTCGGAGTAAAAATATTTAATCTACAAAAAAGTTCCTTTTTTGTAGATTTTCCTTGACTGGCAAGAAACGTAGATTTTTTTTCGAAAAATAAACTCACGCAGAAAGGTAAAATGTGCTTAAATTACCGTATGGGCGTAAGATTATGTACAGGGTGGGTCAAATTCGACGCTTTTAAATGGAAACACCCTTTTCTATAGGAGATAGACGAAAACTAATATCGGTGTCTGGAGCTCAATTTTCATCAAAAACATGATGGTGAAAACCGCACATCAATATCTGTTACCGTTTCGGAGTTACGGGGTGTTTTTTAAAAATGTGCATTTTTAACAAATCGCTGTAACTTTTTTGCTATGGAAAATTTTGTATTTCTATGAAAAAATTTCCAAAGCACCTTTTACGTAGAATTTAATGGTTTAAGTATAATTTTTTTAAAATTAATAATTTAAGAGTTATCAACAGAAAAATTTATTTTTATTTGGGACACCCTCTATATTTTTAATTAACTGAAAAGAATTTAAAATTACCTTTCCAAAAATATAGCACACTTGATATTTTGTTATAATCCCCTTCGAAATACAGAATTTTTAAAAGTTCGCCACTTTTAACTAGTAGGCTTTGGACCCCTTATTGATGATATGCCCTTAATGGAACTCGAAAACATATTTTTCCATAAAGACGACGCGACGCACCGCCTCAGAACGCTGAAGTTATCAGCAAATTTTTGCAGCCAATTTCAAGAATAATTGAATAGCTAACCAAGATCCCAGCCATTGGCCGTCGAGGCCGCCTGATTTAGTGCCCATGGATCTAATCCTATGGATATATTTGCGGAAGAATAAAGGTTCCTTATTCCTCCGTATAATCTAGACAAGAATTAGAAATACTTAGTTGTTATGAGGGGGTATCTTTCACCCATTCTGAGTTAATGAATTCCGCGAGAAATGTTCAAAAACGGCACCGTCTGTCCATAACAGAAGACGGTCGATATATCGAACACCTGTAGCAAAATCTCATGTTTTGGTTTGCTATTTATTTTTATTGTTATTGGATTTATTATCTATTATTATCGGATTTTAATTGTTATAAAATTCTGCATCTCTCATTGCAAATATTGTTTTCGTTTTAATTGATGCTCACAGCTAGAATTTTTTTGCATTACAGCCGGTACCGTTCAAAACCTACTAATTTAAAGTGGGCGAATTTTTATATACTCTATATCTTGAAGAGGAATCGAGCAAAATATCAAGTGTGTTATATTTTTGGAAAGCTAAGTTTAAATTATTTTCAATAAATTAAAAATATACAGGGTGCCCCATATAAAAAATAAAATGTTCTGTTTATAATTCGTAAATTATTAATTTTAAAAAAATTATACTTAAACCATTAAATTCTACGTAAAAAAGTGTTTTGGAAATGATTTCATAAAAATACAAATTTTTCCATAGCAAAAAGTTACAGCGATTTGTAAAAATGCATATTTTTTGACAACACACCCCGTAACTCCGAAACGGTAACAGATATCGATATGCGGTTTTCACCATCATGTTTTTGACAAAAATTGAGCTCCAGACACCGATATTAGTTTTTGTCTATCTCCTATAGAACAGGGTGTTTCCATTTAAAAGCGTCGAATTTGACCCACCCTGTGCTGTAAAGACGTAAGGTAAAACGGTGTGTAGGAGCTAGAGATCTGCACGGGCCGGGTAGCCCGAACGGGCTCCAGGCCCGGCCCGGCCCGAACCCGGGCCTCGGGCCGGACCGGTTTCGCACTGTCAATAGGGGTCGGGCCTCGGGCCGGGCCGGTTCCGCACCAGGTGGATGACACTTCTTATGGGAGAACTGGCAATGGTTGAAAACTTGACTACAAGGGATTTTCTAGGAATCTTCCTTACCGATAAATTATTGACAAGAGTGACAGATAAAACCTTGACGTTCTTTCAGTATTCCAGTTCATCTCTTTTTCTTTCTAAAGTGTGCGTTGAAAGCAGACAAAAACAATTTTTGGTGACCCATAAGTCGTAATCCTACTAGGAGCTATACGGAGCTTTAGTAAATCCCTGTAAATTCTTTGCTAATATTAAACATAATTTACTTTGAATTAGGCATTATTACTTCCCCGACATTTATTTTACGACATTTTATGATTTTAGAGGCTTTTCAATTTACGTCAATGATTTACGAGTATAAAGCCGGCTATACGTATACGTTCAAGCATACTGGAACGTGTGTGGCAAGATTATTGCTCAAGTATCTAGACTTGTATACTTGTCTCAAGAAAGTTTCAATTTTTGATTCCGAGACTTCCGATCAGAGTTGAATGAAAAAAAAAGAGTTTGCATAAATCTACACTTGCGCAGAGGTATACTGTGTGGTACTTTTATGCTTAGGCGTAAAAGTGCTTTACTTTTATGCCTATAGGCGTTAAAATTATTTTTTTATGTTGCAATCACGTCGCAAAAATTAATACTTTTGTAACATTTAAAAAAAAACATTTCTATATACAGGGTGTTTAAAAAAGCATGTGCCATCTCTTGTAGGGAGATTCTCCACGTAAAAATGTATGGGTTATCACTGGAATATTTTTCTAAAAACAGCATGTACGCCACTGACTTTTTTTCTCTTGTTGCGAAATAGTGTAAGCAGTTTAATGCCGATTAAAAGTTGTCTCTTGATATTTAGTCGATTTCGGCCTCCTTGATGAGATAAACGCAATTTTATTAATTTGCCTTGATCCAAGTCTAATATGATTTTATTAAAACGGGCTAAACGATTTTGATATCAGAAGAAAAAAATTAGTGGCGCACATGTTTTTTTAGTAAAATATTCCAGTGATAACCCATATGTACGTCCCTGGTGAATATGTCGACCCTTTTTTAGCTTTAAAATATGTCGCATTTATAGTAACTTTTACCCTCAAAATTTCATTGGAATCACTAAAAGTACTTCGAAAAAAATTATAATAAATCGAAAGATTATTAAGACTTTAACACCCTGTAGCTTCGAAACAAAGCAGAATCGGACCTATGTTGATATGAAAAATAAATCGTATTTTTACGTGAAGAATCTCTCTACGAGAGATGGCACATGTTTTCTGAAACACCCTGTAGGTTTATAACATGTATATCTAATTGAATTTGAACGAAAGGAGTATTGCTGGTTGTTGTAGATCATTTTCTCAGGTGAAATACATAAATAAAAAGGAATTTTTAGGTCAAAAAAAGCCAAAAGGACAATTTGTCCAAAAGAGGACTGTCCTTTTCAAAAACAGGACAGGTCGCAACCCTAGTACCAAGTTCAAAAATCTGCGCTCTAATCTTGAAATTAATGTTCTTAACCTAATATATTATTTAATATTAATGGTTATTATGTTAATTATTATTAGTAAGTAATTATTTATTGTTCAAATATTTCTTTAAACTTCTCAGAATAGTCACATCAAAGAA